CCCTTCTATATTTCTTCTGGTCTGTGTTATGTGCACCATCAGCCCCTTGGGCTATGGCCCAAACACAGACAAGCCAATAAAGCAGGTCAGATATATTGGGTGGGTGTAGTAGAGACCTGTTGACAAACCACTGGGGACATTTAAGGAGGCTGTGATTTCTGTGCTATAGATTTAATTCAGATCTTCATTCTGATACAACATTGGATTCTGTTTTTGTACTTTTGTTGACTTTTAAAGTATATAAGGACAGTTTGATTCATATATAACTGTCTGTTATTAAAATCAACAGGAGATGGCTCTAATTTTTATCTAAAAATCTTTTATCTCCCTTATGAGACATTGTTGCTTCCTTAGTGAGAATAGTTAAAGTACAATCATTCTTAGCATAGTTATATTTGTATCCATGTCCATTCTGACTCAGTCTCTTCCATGAACATTTCAGCTACACATGACCACGTAACCTCTAAAGGTAAAAAAGAAGATCAAAGTATTAAAATTGAATCATCTTAGACAGCAAATCACTTCATGAACCCACCTTGTTGTGTAATTGTTGAAGAAGAGGAGGCAGAAGAAAGCTGCAGGGGAGGAAGACCTACGTCGCTGTTGAGTAATGAGCTGCCATCGCTGTCAGAGACTCCACTTGGTACCTGGACCAGGCTGTAGCCACCCAGCTGCAGAGCGCCTGATGGGGAGCTGAATGTCAGAACAGAGGAGCCGCCATTCTGGGCAGCCATGGTGTGAACCCCTTCCAGCTTCACCTCTGACCCATTCACACAGCCAGCGTAAGATGCATATGGCAGGGTGGACTCCTCAGCATTCCCTAGTCCTTTGTCCTGTCCTGTCTGCATCTGCATGTCCACTCCAGAGCCCCCCAGCAGCACCCCTCCAGAGGGTCTCAGAGGGTTAAATGCCAGGGGCTGGATGCCCAAATTGAGCCCGTTGAAGAGGATGTTTCCAGGTGAGTGGAGGTAAGATGATCCACCATTGTGAAATACAGTGGAGGGCGTGTTACTGGTCACTAGACTTCCATTGTAGAGACCGCCACTGCTGGATCCAGGAGGCATCTTGATGTCCCCGATCTGTTGGATGACCACCCCACTGTCCAGAGGTCCCGTCTGAATAGGAAGGTTCCCATGGGTTATCACCCCATCTGAAGAATTGGAGAGAGGACGAGGAGACAGCTCCTCCTGGCCTTTACTGGACTCATCCTCTGTGCTGTGGTTTCCATCTGATTCACTGTAGAAAAACAAAAGAGGAGGGAGAAAGATGGCAAATGGTGTGTAACAAAACAGAGGAAAATAAAAAGGGAAAATTTGTGTACCATTTGTATATGTTTCTGGGAAGGAAGAAAACTATAAACACCAACACAATTAGACCATAAACTCGTATAATGGAATTCATTTCATTTCCACCCACATTTTGCTTTTAAGCCAGAGCACACAGACTCACATTTATTGCTGGGTTATTACAAAGCTTTGAAGGCAGGCTGTGTCTGTGTAGCCCTCTTACCTCATGGAGAGCTGCATGGACAACAACCAGGCAGCGTCAACAACCGTGCAACCATTTGGCGCAATAAATTCTGGAGTGACAAAATGCCAGCTCTGACAGGACAAATGGCTTCAAGTATTTATTTATTTGTTTTGCCTCTGATTTGGGACGTTCCAATGAAAATTCTTATTTTTAATTTTCCAAGAATAACAAAGTGAAAGAATAGGAGCAGCTATATTAGCAGCCTCATTTTGTTTACTAGCCCCCTTTTAAAAGACTGATTAAAACAGCTGCACCACTTCACACCCCCACTCCCCCCTAAGGGACACACACACAAACACACACGCATCTAAACCCACCACTTCCAGGAAAATATAAAAGGGTGTCACAAGTTAAAAAAAAACAACAAAAAAAAAAACAGGGGAAAAAAAGAGAACGAAATCCAAGGTTTATAAAGATTTAAAAACTTTGAAATTATTATTTTTTTTACTGGCGATTTTAAGACAGCTTACAATGGTGTGTATATGCCTCTGTGTGTGCGCGCGTTCGTGCGCGTGTGTGGTTAGAGAGACAGAGGGGTCACCTCCACCAGGTGTGCGTCATCTTTGTTCACTCAGAGGGAAACATGAAAGAATAGCGTGCACATGTCAGTCTGTTTGTCTGCGGGATTATGAAATGAAGCGCAGGAGTTGATGGAAGCTCTGAGATCCTTTCTTGATCCAAAAGGAAGAAGGGGAGGGCAAAAAAAAGAAGTCATGATCATGAAAATGATTTATGTGCTACTGGGTACACGCGCACCCCAAAGTGTGTGTGTGCGCGCGCTCAAACACACGCACACACACCACGAATAGGTAAGAAGATTTTAACCTTTCAAGTCATCTTTTGAACCGTCTCATTAAAGTTGCCCACTCCCCGCGTCTGATCGTTTAATCGCTGAAGTGTGTATTTTGTTGCTTATGGTTTCCATGCCTCTTAGCACCAACGCACTTGAAACTTGATCTGAATGGCAACAGCTTCATATTTCAAAACATTAAAAGCGTGCTCCTAACCCCTTTACAAATAAATTGTTGTGTTTCTGAACTATGAATAGTTAATGATTTAAATTGTTCGTTCTTATTTGTGAGGCCGGCAAGACGATTATGAAATACACTCGGTATTGTCAGTAATCGAACTTGGTCCAACTGCATAATATAGCCGCTTTTCCATTAAAAAAACAACAACTTTTAAATACTTGGTAAAGTTAATCGGCGTTCATTTTAATTAAAGGGCCTTTTACGCACATAATCTTCAGAAGTAAAATTTATTGCCGTTTGATGAGCGATCTGTGACGGGAAAAGGTCTGTGGCGTGCTCCTTTTGTTGCCTCACCTTTTTGATTGTGCTTCCGACGGGTTTCTGTCTCTCTGTCTCCTGTTTTTGAACCAGTTGCTGACCTGGGTCAAGGAGAGTCCGGTTATCTTGGCGAGATTTCTTTTCTCCGCTGGAGACGGGTACCTATTTTGATTATACAGATCCTTCAGTGCGTTCCGCGACCTCTCCTTGAAACAATAAACAGTCTCCTCGCCGTCCCAGATAGTCCTGGGGAGAGGATACTTTCTCCGGATTCGGTACTTGTCCACTGCGCCCAGGGGTCTACCCCGCGCCTTCTCCGCCTCGGTGTACCGCGCTTTGTACCACAGATCTTGCAGAAAGGTGTGGTTGGACGGACTAAAACTGTGGTTCTCCAAAATACTGTACAGCTCCTGATACCGAGCCTGATGGAAAGCTACGAGGGCTTGAGCTTTCAGGATGCTTTCGTTGCCCCGTAGCAGGTCACTCTGTGGCAGGGACCACAGGAACCTGGCCAGCCGGTCCACATTGCCTCCCTGCTGCAGTGCCTCACAGACACACGCCACTTGCTCCGGGGAGAAAGCAAGAGAGGAAGCGGCATTCACCAACAGCTCAGTGCGCACCGCGTCAGTGCTGGGAGTCGTGCGCTCCATGGGCAACTCCGCCGCGTCCAGCGCCACAAGCTTGATGCACTCCCGCGTATCCACCTCCTTCACATTTTCCCTCTTGATGTCATTTGCTGTTGTGACTTCTCCGGCAGAAGAAGAAGACATTTTTTTTTTTTTTGGTTCAAGCCTTCCCTGGTAAAGTCACTCCTCCCCGCTCGATCAGGTTACCTCCTCGCCATGCGAATGCGATCGGATATCTGACAGCAGCTGTAAGTAGATATCTCTCTCCCCTTTTCCTTCCAACGTGACTTTTACTCTGCGGGGACTGGAGCTGGAGGGAGACACGGTGGGGTCTATCTACAGGAGCGCCTCGCTATTGGCCGTCGAGGGCCCGTAAGGGAGGAGCGAGCATGGATTCAGACGCGAATGTTTGGTTTCCAGCTGTCAGTCATATAACTTCCAGTAGATTAACGTAGCTCACCTGTGCAAGGTGAGTGCTTTTGTGATCGTGGGAACGGGATATCTTTGTTGTCTGTATTGTCAGGAGATCATTTGTCTGTAGGTATGCACATAAAAGAATGTTTTATTTCCATCTCGATGTATGGAAATCCAAACGGAAGTAATGCTGGGAATACTGTCACTCACTTGATTTAGCCAGTTTACATTTATTTTGACAATTTTAAAGTAACAAATGTTAACAAAAAATAGATATCAGATTTACTCACACTTTAAATTTGTTTTTATTGTTATTTCAGGAATGAAGGTAATAAAGTTTCAGCACAGATCCTGCTTTAAGTGGCTATTGCGAGGTTGTAGTCTACCCCTCCCACCAAAGACTGGATCAGAATACTATAAGCGACCAAAGTAATGTCAGAAAAAAAACAGCACACCCCTAAGAAAATGTAGCCCGTCCCTTCAAAGATATCATATGAGGACTAGACCTCAAATTTCTCTCAAGAGTAGCTCATTCCCAAATCAGGTGATCTGTCTAGCATCACGTAACAGGTGTCCAACACCACATCATTACTGATATTTGAACTTTAAATTATGTTTTCATTGAATCTTTTATAGTAAAAGAGTCTCAGATCGTCTTAACAATTACTAGCATCCACATATAGTCAATAAACTATTATAGCTCAAGCACTGGGAGGAATGAAAACTAAAAATATTTAAATATCAAACTAATTCCTACGAAGTTCACGTTTTCTCGCAATGATTTCATAAAACTAACTTAATGTAACTTACGAGTTGTTTTCCCAAATTCACAATCATCCAGAAACGATATGATGTCAGAAACCCAGGGAAACAATGTCTGGGTTGATTTTTGTTTTTAATTATGTTTCTGCTCAGACTTACAAGATCATATGGAAGTTTTTTTGTTTTGTTATATTTACTCGACTACTACCATTACTACTACTACTATTACTACTAACTAAAGTTATTTATTTACTTAATTTATTTTACCTCGCTTCCACTGGGACTCCCTAGCAACCCTTGCATGTATGTGCGCCAGCAGCTATTTGCGCCTCACCTCTAAAAGCAATCATTAAATAGGAACACATCTTATTAATGCCGTTTCCTGTCGGACCTCATTTTGTGTAACGCAGTGGTTCGCAGCTTGGAATCTGACAGGAGAGCTGCAGGTTATTGACGTGTTTTGTTTTGTTTCTGAAGTGCTTTTTATTATTGCCATTATTTTTTTAGTGTGGTGCAGACAGAAATGGACGAACAGGGCTGTCCGAGATGTAAAACAACCAAATACAGAAACCCGTCGCTGAAGCTGATGGTGAACGTCTGCGGCCACACGCTGTGAGTATTCACACCTGACAGCTACAAGGAAAGAGCACAAATCCTCCACAACATCGCGGCGTTTCTGCTCCAGGCTGCTCGAAACGACACGCAAACACAAAGCACCCCCCAAAAGCAGCTATAATATAGCGTTTAAAACTGTTTCCGCACATACATCTCTAGTCTTAATTGGGGGACTTGGACGTAAACAAAACTGATAAGCCTCGAATGCTGACGGTTTGTTGGGCTAGCTCATATTTATAGTCTTGGTGTTAAATAGCTGTGTCATTGTAGACAGAAAGTGTGCTTTAGAGGTGGGTTATGTTTCCTGATAGAGCTACACAATTGCAAAGCTAGGCTAATACTGCTGGTAAACA